ACTGGAGCTCTGTGGTGCCGTTTTATTAGTAAAACTATTAAGAGAGGTTGCTGAAGTACTACACGTGCAAAATGGAAATTTGCGCGCTTGGACCGACTCGACCATTGTTTTAGCTTGGCTAAGTAGTCACCCAAGCCGTTGGAAGACCTTTGTTGCAAACAGAGTCTCAGAGATTTTGAGTATTTTAAATAGAGATCAATGGGCACATGTAATATCCACTGAAAATCCAGCAGACTGCGCTTCGCGAGGCATCCGTCCATCAGAATGTGAAGCGGCTAATTTATGGAAAAATGGTCCAATGTGGCTGAGCGAACTAACTATAAACTATCCCCGGAGGAACGTTGATGAAACAAATTTAGAAGAAAAGGGTGTGAAGGCATGCCATGTGGTGGATAGTAGTCAAAACATTTTTTGGACAAATTTTTCGACTTTAAGGAAATCATTGAGAGTATTTGCTTACTGTAGAAGGTTTATAAACAAATTAAAGCGATCTGAAGAGAGTTTTCCTATATGGTTAACTAATAAAGAACTAAATCAAGCATTACATATTATTATAAGAGCATGTCAGAATGAGTACTTTTTTCTGGAAATCAATGATTTAAGAAATAATAAACCAATTTATAAGAAAAGTAAACTTACCGTATTGACTCCTTTTCTGGATCGTGAAAGTATCATGCGAGTTGGTGGTCGTCTTGAAAGAGCTGACTTCAACATAGACAGAAAACATCCAGTGATTTTGCCATCAAAATCACATCTTACCGACTTGATCATAGCGGACGCTCATGAAAAAACTTTGCATGGCGGGCCGCAATTAATGATAAACTATATTCGGTCCAAATACTGGATTTTAGATATTAAAACTCGTACAAAGTTATTCGTTCGAAATTGTGTTCGATGTGTACGATACGCTGCACAAGCAAGAGACCAACTTATGGGACAGTTACCTCCTTCACGTGTAACTCCAATTCGTCCTTTTCATCGAAGCGGCCTGGATTATGCGGGTCCTATTTTAATAAGAACATCCAAAGGTAGAGGCCATCGAGCATACAAAGGATATGTATGTTTGTTTGTGTGTATGGCAACTAGAGCAGTACATTTGGAGGTTGCAAGCGACCTTACAGCGCAAGGTTTTTTGGCCGCATTCAAGCGTTTCGTGGCCAGACGTGGGCATTGCGCTGACCTATACAGTGATAATGGTACAAATTTTGTAGGTGCCGCACGCGAACTCAAAACATTGTGGTCCCAAGAAAAGTCATCATTGGCAATAGAAATTGCTGAGAGTTTGGCAACAAATGGAACAACATGGCATTTTATTCCACCTCATGCTCCACATTTCGGTGGATTATGGGAGGCTGGAATAAAATCCACCAAACACCACCTAAAACGAGTGATAGGTACTCAGACGTTGTCTTTTGAAGAGATGAGCACTCTTCTGTACCAAATAGAAGCCTGTCTCAATTCCAGACCATTGTCACAAATAAGTGTGAACTCACAAGATCCTACACCTCTTACCCCAGGACATTTTCTTGTCGGAGAGCCATTGGTCTTGGTGCCGGACAGCAATTATGAAACCTCATCGGTTTCTTCACTAAAGCGCTGGCAGCTAACGCAACAGTTGCTGCAGCATTTTTGGCGTAGGTGGTCAAATGAATATCTCACGCAGTTCATGCAACGTTACAAATGGGCACATCAAAAACCAGAACCGAATGTTGGTGATATTGTTCTAGTTCGAGAGGATAATCTTCCTTCAGCAAAATGGTTATTAGGGATTATAACGGATAAACATACAGGTTCGGACAATATTACGAGGGTTGTTAGCCTTAAATGTAAGGATGTTATCTTCAAGCGTCCTATAACCAAATTATGTGTATTGCCTGTGACGAAGTAAGATATTTGGGTAAATCTGATGTTGTTGTTTTTTATTTTTTTGTTGTTGTATAACATAATAGGTATGTTGTCACTTCTAGCTACTGTGAAAGGCTTGTACGAACTTTTTAAACTCTATTACAGTCCACTACGATTACTTGTTTACAGTTTATTCACGGTGGGCGGAAGTGATGTACATTCTGTCCATGGTGGGCGGTATGTTTAAATAATTATAGTTCTATGTTCAACCAATAGATGTCGCCTGTGGTTCCTTGAATCGCGGTATGTTTAAATTATTATAGTTTTATGTTCAACCAATAGATGTCGCCTGTGGTTCCTTGAATCGCGGTATCGTTTTGATTCAAAAATAGTATGAGTATCTCAATTGTTTTTTGTATTAAATATTCTCAGCCTTAGGAATGGTGTTTTATTTGATCACTTCCTAAGAAACAGGAGACATTATTCGCACTCATTGTAGCATTCATTTTTAATTACAAGCTGTTCCTTTGTTATGTCAGCTTAAAGTTATAAATTCATTATAGGCTTAAAATCATATTATTACAGTTTATTACAATATAATTATCAACACGCAGCAACAAATTTCAGGTATTCTTCTAACGACACGAGTAAGTTGTCTGAGGTTTATAGAAGAATGGCCTATCTTTTTGTTCGTGTAGTATATTATGTAATGTAGGGTCATAAGATTTATTTAATAAATACTTAACGACTTATAGATTTAAACGCGAAATTATTATTATTTAGTCAGTGTCTAGTAGGAGATATGTAATAATGTAATAAATTTGCGTTTCTATGCGTTAAGAACGTTTTTTGTGTAGTATTTGCGTAAACCACAGACTAGAAATCAAAATATTAATACTATTTTATGTTATTATTACTTAGAAATTTAAATCTCTTGGTCACAGAGTATGTGAAAAGTGAACTGTGACTTTTGGCGGTAATGTCATGAAATTTCTAAAATGCCAATTATTTTTCATGTGCTTACAAAGTTTAAATTGGACTTGAATTTCACAAATAGTTGACATTTTTGATTTCCTTTACTCCTTGTTGTGGTGCCACAAATATCTACTTACCATCCTACGATTCCACAGGTTGGTAATCATTGTATCTCCCTCCACCCTCTGGGGACCCTCCCCAGAGGCTGTAACTTTCGACGACACATTCTATATGATAATATTAAGTTTTATTCCTGGGAGGAAATGCCGCCAGAGTTGGTACTTAACTCTAGATCAGTGTTTTCCCACGGCCCACGGTCTACAGGGGCTCCTTAACATTCAAATTGTTAAGGAGTATCCCCCTATAGAAATCGGCTATAATCGGATATAACACGACGTGGAAAGATGACTGAAGCTAACCAAATTGAAACCTAATATAAAATCTCTGTGCAGCATGCATCGAGCGCAAGGATCTCACTGAATTAAAATAATAAATTAATATAGAAAAATCTTTATTAAGATTATTTGGAATTTGAATTTTAGTTTTACATTATGTTATGAAAATTTACTATAATTACAAAAATTGTGGGTTTTCCTAGTTTGTTATTGTGTTTCTCACGTTATTACACCTCTGAATTTTGATTTAATGATGTGATTTGTTTGTTAGCTACGTAATGATAGTATAATAGACTTTTTTTCACTTTTATGTTATTGTCAAAAAAGTAATTCTCTGAAGTTCGACACAGAAGTTTATTATTTTTATTTTATTAAAGTTAACTTTATAGGTTTTGCATATGCCCAATTTGTTATTACTTTATAAATGTGGCGTAAATGCGACAGATAAATACCAAATTTACACTGGTCACATGTAATAATCCAATTCATTTTCAATTTTTTGTATGATGATTTGCTATTTTAAAAGAGTACCGAGAGTTTTTTACGCCGGCTTTTTCTCTCGGCCTACACCCTCTGTGTTCTTTGCCGATGTCTACCGATTCACATTTAATGATATAATAGGAATAAAAGATACCTGTATCTAATATTCCATAATAAACATATTTTATTTTTATTTTCAATGATTGATTTTTAGGTTTGTTAGTATCCTAATTAAGGTTTTAACTTAATGTCTTGCACATTAATTGTAACATTTTAAACATAATCGGCCATTTTATAAAACGTCAAATAAATAAAGTAAAACAAATGTTAAACAACATTTAATTATTTATTTCTCTTACATTGTAACCGAACGAAAGCGATTACGATAGGACTTTTAATTCAGTCAGACGTTTTATAAAACCGATTTCATAAACATGAAATTGTTTTCAATTTTTTTTTGAAATTTAAATTTCATTCGTAAGATATTCGCCGAATATCAAAACAATTTCAAAACTCCTGTTATTAGAGTTATGTTGACAATTGTGTGCACGATTATACTTCATTGTACTGAGATCTTTATGATTAAGGTTTATTTGCCGTACCACTCTTGTATAATATAGTATTTGTACGGCATTTGTCGCTGAAAGTCGTGAATCTAATAGAAATAAATTTAAACGGTGAGCTGTTAATAGTTGAAGCATAGACTTTACAACTAAATAAACCCTTAAGAACTAGTGTAACCAATTTCACTTCCGCCTTTTCACGTTACCTATAAAGTATGATTAGATAATCATATTGTTAAACGCAATTTTTACTATTGACGCGCTAAAGTCCCCCATTCCCCTTTTAATTTTGTTTCCTCTATGAAATTAAACAATAGAGGTAGTAGAAAAACACTTTTCTATGTCAATAAAAGACAATACTAATAGAGGTAGTATTTTTTATATAAATCAAATGTAATCGCAAAATATGTTGCTATCGCCAAAAGTCGAAGACCGCTGGACCAATTTGAGTAAACTTGTTTGATTTATTCTTTGAACATTGAGGAAGGTTTTCATGGAGAGAAAAAATTAGAAGTTTTGTTTTTATGTTGGTATGTAGCTACTTAAAAGGTAGGCTAAGTAAAAAAATCATATTAAGGCGAATCGAAGTTCGCAGGGGCAATAAAATACATAGTACCTACCAACGTAGACTAAAATCATTTGAGTGTTTGAATTTTTAGCATAATATAATTCATGCTTTAAAATGTACCTATGTTATATGAATTTAATTACCTAAACTACGGGTATTACGATTAAATTATAGATGTATCTTTGGGCGTGTCTACTTGTTATGATATGCTTGTGTGTTTTAACCTGGCATTGGAGAGCCAGAAAGAACTACGCTCATTTACCATCCTATACGAATCTACCATTATTGGGAAACGCTTACAAATTGTATGGAAATTCACGGAGTAAGTATTGTTTATATAAATAACAGAAAACTGTATGAATAAAAATTAAAATTTAAGAGTCTTTTCCACAGACTGACAAACAAATTAAATGAAACATCACATTTATTTTTTATTTACTTGGGGAAATGCACTGCGCATCCCTTCTGCGGCGCTACTGCTTAGTGCGTGAAGGTTATGTGAGTCTTGCTATTGTGCATACCCACTAAACCCCAAGGCACCACCAACAATCACCCTGGACGTATGTGGTAACAGCACAGGTGTATACGCTTTCCGACACGCGACAACGGTTGCGTCCGCCTCTCCACAAGTTCTTAAGTCAACCTAACTTATCTATGGTATTTTTTAGAGCTATTCTTAACATTTGAAGACATAACGAAGAAATGTGAAAGTGCTAACAAACCATTTGTGTTCTGGGCGGGACCTACGCCGATTTTATGTAAGTAATATATATTTAACGTCAAATTATAGTGATTAAGATTGTGTTTAATGTGTTGGCCTAGTGGCTTCAGCGTGCGCCTCTCAACCCTTAGATCGTGCGTTCGAATTACGGCACCGATGGAATTATTTCTGATTTACATGTCTGAACGCACGCAAGTTGTGAGGGTGGGAGAGTGGACTAGCATCGAGTTACCTGTCACCTTCGGTGTGCCGCAGGGCAGCGTTGCGTAGCAGGCCCACATTGTTCCTCATTTACATTAATGAATTATGTGGGATGAACCTAAGAAATGGAAAAATTGTGGCCTTTGCTGATGACGCAGGCTTAGTGTTCCATGGTCAAGATTGGTTTGAGGCCTTTCGACATGCTCAGCGGGGTCTGAATTTGGTATCGGATTGGCTACATCGCAGTTCTCTGGCCCTTAACACCGAAAAGACCAAATTCATGACCTTCGCAATGTCGAAGCGTGACATTCCTTCTGGTCTGGCACTTGTGTCGCATGCTGGTTCATGTCTGACCGGGGAGCACTGCGGGTGTCCAAAACTCAACTCCGCAGGCACAGTGAAGTACTTGGGAGTCATGCTAGATACCTATCTAAATTTCCAAGTTCATATTGACCTACTGGCAGGTAGAATTAGAAAACTGATTTATGTATTCAAAATTTTGAGGCACAATGCTAATAACACAATTATAAAAAACTGTCTACCTGTCGCTAGGTCAATCCATTCTAAGCTATTGCATCTCTTCTTGGGGTGGCTCAGCAAAAACCCACCTTCTGAAAATAGAGAGAGCTCAGAGGGCAATACTCAAGGTTAGTGCCTCCATTCCCTTCATTTGTCCCACCACAGAGGTATACAGACATTGGAAGGTACTCTCTGTGCGTCAAATGTTCATTCTTGCCACAATTTTACGCAAGCACTCACTTATCAATTATGACCAACACCTTAAAGATAACAAGCGTAGAAAAGGCATAGTGTGCACTTCAAAGCCCTTTCGCACAAGTTTTGCCCAGAAATTCTTCTGTTTTTTGGGGGATTACTTGTATAATAAGGTCAACTCTTCCGTTTCCACATATCCCCTAACTAAACATGAGTGCAAGAAGACGGTTGCACTGAGGCTACTGGACCTCAACTATGAGGAAACAGAAAAAATGCTGACAATAATTAAATAGTTGAGTTAAAATCGATTTTGATTTTATTTTGTGGCCTAATTAAACTGAAGTATGTATTTCCAAACCAATTTGGCTTAGGGTCCTTAAAGCAAAGAGCGTACCCATTCTTAATAGGCCGGCAACGCACTCGCCCTGTGGCAATTGAGTGTCCATGTATCACTTAACATAAGGTGAGCCTCCTGCCCGTTTGCCCCTGTTCTATAAAAAACAGAATCCTTAAACCAATCTTTGCAATCATCGAACTGAATAAAAAACAACTTAGGAAACAAATTGCGCAAAAACATGCAAAAACTTCCGTTGTCATTGCAATTACTATTAACTATCCATTATATGCTATATTAACATCTATCAAAGTTAAATAAGTTCCCAATTTGAAACCAACCAATGAATAGAATTAAAGAAAAAGTGCGAGTGTACAAAGTACACATGTCAGAAGTGAAACTTCTTTATAAATTAATTATCACTAAGGTAAAAGCCCCAATAGATGATCATGTACCCAGTATATGATCACTCCATGTATTTGTATATCTATATTTAAAACACTTAAAACATTACAGTATTAAGTGACCCCGATGACATCAGGCTGGTGGCAAACGCCTTTATAGAAAAACCATACTATTACAAATTTGCTAATGCTTGGCTTGGCAATGGCTTATTTACTGCACCTGGTAAGTTATCTATATCTTAATACTACTACTTTTATCATATGTTCATTCGGTCGTGCAATAAGCTCAAACTCAAAATATCTTCTTTATTCACATAGGTAAACAAGTACTCTTATGAACGTCAAAAAAGAAGTTAAATTCATTCTAAATGTAAATTTATTACCAGTTCGCAAGTCAAGGGCGTAGAGCGGGCAAGAAACTTTCCGCCACTCTTTTTAATCGCTAAGTTTTGAGTCATACAAATTGTTTGAACTGGAGCAAATCAATCCCAAGGATAAGGATCATTTAAATATTCGTCAAATTTATAAAAAGCTTTATTGATTAATTTACGTAACGAGGGCTTTGAATGTATTTATTGATAATTCTCTAATTTCGCTTGGGAGTTTGTTGTAAAAACGATATACCTATTGTCTTCCTCAATACAAGGATTGTTCGACACAATCATAAATGTTCGGGAGTTAAGTTCGATGGCTGTTGTTGGAGGGATGTTTAAATGTTAAATGAATCTCTTTCTTGAAGCTATAATTAGTGTCAACTGCTTATAACTAACATAAAGTTAAGGTTGCGACCCTGACAAAACACTAACTTGGCTTCTTAAATCTAAGTTACACTTATGTTACCTATAAAGAATATAAGTGTAATCAACCTATTGGACATTTTTTTTGTTGTACCTATGTTTTGTTTTGCTTCGTATCTTATTTTTATGAGTGAAACTTTTCGTGGATATATCCAATGGGTTAGTTTAATGTTTTATTTTCATTTTATAGACATGCATCAGTTTTGTTTCCTGTATAAATAAATAAATATATATCGGAAAATATGTTATATTGCAATATAACATTCTCGTTAACATTCTCAATATACTCATAAATGAGTGTAGGAAAACTTAAGGGTTCATAAATTCAAATTCAAATTCAAAAATCATTTATTCACGTAGGTAACACAATGTACACTTGTGATTCGTCATTAAAGAAATAAGTATTAATGCTTCTAATTTTACATTTACTGCCAGTTCTCAAATCAAGGGCGTAGAACGGAAGAGAAGAACTGGCAATAAACTCTCCGCCACTCTTTTTAATCGCCATGTTTTTTTTTTTTTTTTTTTTAATTATATTATATTGGTTTCAAGTTTGCGATGATTGCTAACATTTGGTTTGCGCTTCTTATTATTAATTAAAATATATTATATGTTACTTAACTAATGTTACGTTACATAACTCGGTCCACTTTTTTTACGACGAGCTGGACGCGTAGACTGAATTTAAGAATTCAGAATCCCTTTTTTATTGCTATTAAATTATTATAAAAATATATTCTCTGTATCTGTTAACAATATTCAATATATTTAAGGTTCGATATGGAAGAAGAACATTAAAAAGATGGCGAGCACGTTTATAGGACCAGCTGTAGATCAATACCAAGTGTTTTTCAATGAACAAGCTCAGAAATTAGTTAAAAAATTGGTGCGGGAAGTGGACGGCGACTTCTTTGATCCCATGCCATACTTATGCTTTTCAGCTTTGGAAACTATTTGTCGTGAGTTACTTTGTCTAATGCCTTCTCTTTGACCAGCCTTGAGGATAGGCGCGCCACCCAAGGGCCAAGGGTTAAATCTCAGTCAAACTCAAACTCAAACTCAAACTCAAAATATCTTTATTCAAGTAGGTAACCAAGTACACTTTTGAATCGTCAAGTTAAATTAATCGTAAATTTACATTTACTACCAGTTCGCAAGTCAAGGGCGTAGAGCGGGTAAGAAGAACTGGCAAGAAACTTTCCGCCACTCTTTTTAATCGCCAAGTATTGTCATACAAATTGTTTGAACTGGAGCAATTCAATCCCAAGGATTAGGATCATTTAAGTAGTCCTCAAATTTATAAAAAGCTTTGTTGATTAATTTTCGTTTAACGAGGGCTTTGAATTTATTTAGTGATAATTCTCTAATTTCGCTTGGGAGCTTGTTGTAAAAACGAATACAATTTCCATATAAGGAGTGGTTTATCTTTTGGAGCCTGGTTGGTCGTACACTCAAATTAGTTCTATTTCGCGTATTATACTGGTGAAAGTCACCATTTGTTTTAAAATCGTTTATATTTTTTTAGTCTTTGAAAATATATGTAGATGAATGTTTTCTTTAAAATTGTTATTATTGGAAATTCATGATTTCCAAATCTAATCACTTATAATGTAGTCCTATTTTAATCGTGCAAAATTATCTAATTATATTATTAAAAGGCCGGCAACACACTTGCGAGCCTTCTGGCTATGGGCGTCGGTAACATCAGGTGAGCCTCGTGCCAGTTTGCCTCCTGTTACATAAAAAAAAGCAAAAAAAATCTTAAAGACTTGAAATCGATACATTATTTTTAGAGGTTGGTCTTGGGGTATCTAAATCCAAAAATCTGGTGACGGAGGAGTACTATAAAGCCTTTCATCGCACCCTCGAACTGATTCTGGATAGAGGCACCAATATTCTGATGCACCCTGATTGGCTGTACCGTTTGACGCCAGCGCATAAGGAGCTCTTGAAATGTGTTGATGTTCTGCATAAGGTCTCAAAAACGGTAAGTGTCTAAAATGAAATCACTTTGACGTCCGTCGCTCCACAACTGAGCGTTTCTTAAGGCAGTTTCTGCCGCGCACCACCACTATGTGGAACCAGCTGCCCACTAAATTATTTCCGAACCCATACGATTTAGGGTCCTTCAAGAAAAGAGCGCACCAATTCTTAAAAGGCCGGCAACGCACTTGGGGGCCTCCTGGCAATGTGAGTGTCCATGGGCATCAGGTGAGCCTCCTATTCGTTTGCCTCCTATTACATTAAAAGAAAAAAACTAATAATGTACAAGTCGTGTTCGAACTCTCATACATTGTTTTTTAATTAAATATTCATACTACGAAAATACTGTAAGGAGATTTCTTTTCAGATAATGAATAATAAGAAAATAGAACGCGCTTTAAAAAACGGGGACCGTCATATTGATGGTAATTATAAGAAAATCATTTTTGCTGTACTTAATAGTAAAAAGAATTTTTATTTTCTAAGTACATATACTTCTAATCGTGGAAATTAATACGCCTGAATTATGGCATTCGGAGTAAAAAATTGAATGAACCCCGATGTACACGGCCCAACAAGAAGTGGTCGGCAATAATGACAAGAAGTTTTTATTTTACTTATTTAAGTTAAAAATGCAAAGAACCTAATTACAAATATGTCACGAAAGCGAGCGATATGGCGGTTTTTGCATCCAAACCTCTAATACCAACAAAATAAAACATTTCTGTATTTTCAAAAAAAGTTGTATTCATGTATAATAACATGTATACCTTAATGAAATCCTATATAAGTTTAACTAAAGTTAACACGATATTATTAGACTGTTAGGCGGAACGAAGTTCGCCGGGTCAGCTTGTTATTATTATATTACAGCATTTAATTATAAGTGGCATTCAAAAACTTTTTATAGATAAAGATTCCTTTAAATCCTTATTGGATCAGTTACTGGAGCTCCGGGAACATGACCCAACGCTTACTGACGAACAAATTCTGTGGGAAACCGCAACCATCATATTGGCTGGACAGGAGACGGTTGCTACCAGTCTCTTCTATACTCTTCTCGTAATAGGCAGTAGGAAGGATGTCCAAGAGAAGATGTATGAAGAGTGAGTATACAATATTTTAATAACTTATTATTTATAACTAGTTACGAAACATATCATTATTAAAAATAATTAAAAATTATAGTATACAATTTTTTTTTAAAAGAATAGTATAAATATGCAGTAGTAATATTATAGTATATTAAGTGTTATGAAGAATGAATTACTTGAACTAAATATATTTAACTAAAATAATAAAAACTATCATGGCGTGGGAAACTTTCTCATTTTATTGTACTTCCTTTTTATTATGTCTTTTAAGGCCGGCAACGCACTCTGGCATTGAGTATTACTTAACATCAGTTCTATATAAAAAATATATTTCTTTTCTTTTTAATTTCTTGTAGTCCGAGGATGATTTAACGTCGTGCGGGAAAGTTCGTTCGTGTATTTTTAGAGGGAAAACGTGAAAACTTGCCCGCTAGTATTGCTTTTAAATTAGAAACTAATTTTTATGAAAAAGGAGATTTTAAACATGCTTTCTTAGTTTCTTTGATTATTATTATTCATCTCTTTCCTTTTTATTTGTGACTGGATACTATGAAATAAAATATAATTACAAAATAAATTATTTCCAACACACAAATATTATTAACCTACATAGTAATAATAATAATAAAAATTGATAAATAGAAAATGAAAAAAAAGAGTGGTCCCTGTGACACCTGTTTTAATGGTGTTCAAAGGTGCCATTTTAGGTGGTCTAATTGAAATAAATGATTTGACTTTGACTTTGAATGCTGGCAGCATTTCTTTGCTTTATTTACTTATTCGTTGGCCACCGGTACTATCTACCTGGCGCCAACTTAAATCTTTAATTAGCGCCTGTGTATCCGAACCCCACGACCGAAGAGTTTCTTCTCCAAAGGGATCAAAAACAAAATCAAATTTTGTATGAATAAGTTATTTAAATAAATTATTAGTACCACGTAGTTATTTATTAACAGGATAATGAGGACAGTTGGCGATAGACCGATAAAGAAGGAGGACTTGGTTCAGCTAAGCTACTGTGAAGCAGTTATCAATGAAAGCCTTAGATTGTATCCACCAGCTGTCGCCGTATTACGAATGGCTGACCATGACTTGAAGATCAGTACGTTTACTTTATTATCAATTAAAATTTTGTCTAACCAGTCAGTTATACTGTTCGTGGATCTTCCCTTTTGGTTGGAGGTGCACAACATCCTTCCTCCAAGACTAATACATACGTAGTCGTTTTATCTACCATTTCTTAAGAGGCAAGTCGGTGATCAGCCCTGCGATTCTGTAACTCACTTTTCGAACTCACACAGCGGTTTTCGCATCGGCGGTCGCTGTCAAATCAGTCGTGAAGCAGTCATTTTATGATTTAGCATTCTGAAAAGGTGGGAGCTTGTAGTTTATCGTTTGTTGAGTTACAGAATCGCAGGGCAGCTTTCTGTGACTGACACGATTTTTGTGACTACCATCTACACACGGCCTTAAAATCAGTAGCGATTTCGGGAGAATGGTGGCGGGGATGCATCGTGAGAAGAACCAATTTCTGAGTTACGGTTGCCAGGGTTGGGTTATTAATATGTATTTCTTTAATGACGAATCACAAGTATACATTGTGTTACCTACGTGAATAAATGATTTTTGAATTTTTTTGGGTGGATATTAAAATTAGGCCACGACTTGCCTACAGACGAGACGATCTGGGGTGCTCCCACACCACATCCCTGATATTGCCTCTGATTTAAGGGCCGTGTGTAGACGCTTTAAGGCGTTCAGAATTCCTCATGATGTTTTCCTTCACCGGCACATTGAAAGAAAAGGCCATTGTTCACGGGATTAATTTGAGAGCACATAAATTCGTTTATGAATAAAACAGTTTATAGAACGTATGTTATCTAGACATAACTTACATAGTTATATTTTTTGTGATTAAGCCGATTCCTAAAAGATCAGAAATTGTATTTACAGGTTCCTGTACAATAACGAAAGGTACAACGGCAATAATAAACATATGGGGTGCGGGAAGGTCGAAGCGTTCGTGGGGTGATGATGCAGCAGAGTTCAGACCTGAGAGATGGCTCCCACCGAACATCCCCAGCACAAGTTCTTATTTACCTTTTAGCTCGGGGAAAAGAGCCTGTATAGGTATTGTATATTCGTTGTCATTATTACCTCAATGTTTCGTGTTAATAACTCTTTTAAATTCTATATTAGTTTTTGTATTTATAAAACAAAGGTTTATGTAGGTTTAGGGGTCACTCTGCATCTTCTACCGCATTTACCATGGAGAGTGTTCAGAGGAGTTGTTCGTATACCTGCAGCTGAGTTTCATCATCGGACGTCAAGGCAGAATACAAAATACCATCCGTATCACCTCGACGTCCGTCGTTCCACAACTGAGCGTTTCATAAGGCAGTTTTTGCCTCGCACCACCAAATTATTTCCGAACCATGTCAACTTAGGGTCCTTCAAGAAAAGAGCGTACTAATTCTTAAAAAGCAGGCAACGCACTTGCGTGCCTGGCAATGTGTTCACGCTTAACATCAGATAACCCTCCTGCCCGTTTGCCTCCTATTAAATAAAACATAATAATTTATATAATACTGCGAATATGCTCTGTGAACATAAAAATATCGATCGTTTCGGAGACAGCGTTAAGCACTAGCAACGCCCTTGTTATAGCCAGAACGCCAACACAAATAACGCCACTAGGGGGCCTGGTGCCACAAATTAATTCTGCCTGTAGGGGCTGAAAATAACCTTTGTTTCTGCCGTCAAAAATATCTGTTTTCCACAAATAAGTTCTTACAGAACACTAGGATTACTAATAATTCCCCTAAAAACTTTAACAAAGTAGCATAAAGCTGTGATACCCATCGGGTTTCTAGCTTGTTGTGTCCAACCATCCCTAACACAAACAACAGATAGGATTGGTCCATTCAGCCGTTGGTATAAAACCGTGTAAATTTATTCTGAATTCGTCTCATGCGAAGCCCAGACTGATATCAATAAATTTGATGAAAATATATTTAAAAAAATATTATTTATTAAAAAGTGTTTCTGTATTTGAACTTCACCAGAACTATCGAAGACACAAGTCCACAACCACTGCGGTGAAGTCAGTTCGCCAGTTGTTAGTATGTCTCCAAGGAGTCATAGTGGCGATTGGCTAGCGGATTTAGTAGTATTTTTTACTTTAGTGTAATAATGAAGCATTGAAGCTTGTATAATGTAATTTAATTCAATGTATCCCGTTTGTATCTTCAAATATTAGGTTGTTCTTGTGTTTAACGTCCTAAAATAAACTTACGATTCCTCAGGCAAGAAATACTCAATGGCATTTTTGAAGACAGTTTTGGTGCACTGCATACGAAGTTATGAAATAATTAGCGACGAAAGTTTCAACAGAATGGAGTTTAAGATCGATATTGTGTTACGACCTTTGAAAGACTGTTCTATGAAGATACAACCGCGTAAGTGAAACGAGACAAATTGTGGTCATGTAATATTTTTTGTAAAAGGAAATAACGAGGTAGTATCTAAATTGTTTAATTTTAAATTGAAGTTCAAGTATTAAAAAATTTAGTAAAATGAAGGTGTTTTAATGACAATATGGTCTAAGAAGCTGTAGCGCACAGAATGACATAACAAAACGATTTAGATTAAAAATCCTCTACACAGTACTACGTAGTGTAGTATAGGTTGAATATATCATTTTCAACATAGACATAAGGCAAACAAAACTCAGAGTAGTCATCCCGCCAGCCGATAGACTTAACGTCTTTTGCGAATTCTGCAACATTAACAATACCATTTTACCATTTTTTACATCAAATTTCTCCCACTTACTGTCATACACGGCTCTACTAAAAACATCACACGCATCTATTAGTTTTTGCCCAGTTATACAGTCCATACTCAATTGAAACAACGCAAAAGGCATTTCTAAATATGTATTCTCCAATCCACCAAGTAATTCAGCAATCAAACTTGTGATTACGAGTATAAACTCGATCAGAATAGCTCCACTGAACACCTTTTCGATTTGTTTCGTTATATTAATAATCGTTATGTGGGTCTTTATTACTTCTCTGAGGCGATTGTTAATGTTTAAAAATACAATTTGATCAGCTGGTAAGTGAACGTCAGAAGCTGTTTCAATTTCAGCGTTTGCGTCTTCCCATAGATTCGTTATTTCCTCGCTTACAGCTAAAAGGTGCGATTCGGCAAAGCCAGTTACGACTATAAGAAAAGCGCTAATTGTTGAAGATAAATAGCTTGTAAAGAAAACTCCTAAAACGGTAGCAGTAAATGCTATTTCGTAGTTCGGTGATTCTAGTATTGGATCCAGCCCTGCAAAGATGATTTGAATTAGATGGATATAAGCTGGAGCTGAATGGCGTACAGTACAGTACAATATCTGGCGATAATAGTAAATTGGAAGGTATAAAGAAATTATTTGAAAAATTTCTTCATATCATAGAAGTACTAGTACTAGAGAAAACTGGTTTTTACCAATTAGATCAAAGTGGTCTTCCATAAGGTGTCGTCCTGGTTGTATAATAGGCTTTAAGATATAGAGAATACCATTGGAGACTATGAAAATCCAATATATAAAAGCACGTTTTTTAATAATTCTTAGTTTGCTGTGCATATTTCGAGATAGTCGACTGCCAGGGAGAATAAGTGCATCTAAAGCTAAATAGCCGTCAACAATGTCTTTCACGGAGTTTCTGCAAATAAAAATAATTTTTCAAAAAATTATAATAAATGCATTTTGTATTTAGTTTATGTTTTCTCATTAAATAAATATTTCTCTCTTACCTGTAAATTATCATAAATATGTACTTATAAAATGCGATCTCACTGGCAGCACCCAATGAGAAGACGATGATAGCAGCTATTTTGTCGCCAGTCTCTCGACAACGCCAGAATACATACCATATTACAGACAAAAAATAAGTGTAAAAATAGCCAATACCACTTAAAATAGTTACAATGTAGGATATAGTAGATATTTCTGAAAAAGTATATTTGAAGTGAAAACTTCTTTAGCATCGTTGTGATTTGAAAGTAGATGAAACAAAAAAGCGACTGTATAGACAGACACATTAAGTCATAAGATTTAACGAGAGAGAAAATGAGATAGAAAGCATTATACAGGGTATAAACTTTAAATTTGTGTGTATTTGAGCATTTTCTGAATTAAAGAAAACTGTAAGATAACTAAGAGATTAATTTTTTAAATTAATCATCAATTATGAAATTAGATGAAGTTTATCAATTTTATTTACATATAATTAATCACAGAAAAAAATTATAATTAATTTGGTTTTTATCAAAATTTAAGATATTAAGCTTAAAAATTCAACTTTAAAATTGAAATAAAAAATTAATTTAAAGAAACCTCTAATACTACATTTAGTGAAAAAGGTCTAATTTACATATTATGAATTATAAAAACTTTTTTAATCCATTATAGTTTCTATCAAAATTAATAATTTCTATGTTAAAATTATATTCGTCTTATTATTTTGAAACCAAAGTAAATATAATATGTTTCTAATATTGACAAAAAAGGCACCTTACTTACTCTCTGTATTCCGATTGTCGATTTTTAAAATAATTAATCTTAGGAGAAACGCTATATTGCTAATGATAATTGGGAGTTCACAATGATTTAATCCAAACATTCTAAATTCCTCAAGCATTTTTTTTTCAAAATAATTTTATATGTAACTATTTTTCGTCCTAGCCAACCGTAATTATACACATATGAAGTATTTAAAACTAAAGCAATTTCTTTGTAATTCACAGAGACTAATAATCGGCGCACTTTAAGATATTAAAAATTAAACGACCAATTCATGTAAGACGTGTATGATTGACATTCTAATCGTTTCAAATTTAAAGAAATACAAGAGAACTATCATTAAAAATAATTATAGCCATAAGAAGGGTTAAAATATACTTTTTTCAAAGCCTTTAAGTGCGAGACTGCGGTTTTAATTGTAATAATTTCCGAGTGTAATTCGTTCGACTTTTGTCCTTTTCACCGGAAACTGTGTTTTAGTTTATAATTAGTTTTTATATTTTACCCCAATGTCTAATAAATTGTATATTTTTTCCGTATTTTTTATTCTGCTTGGTAACTTCAATACAAAACATACGGCATTAGTACATTTTAGGAATTTAAATTCATTACTATTAAATTTGAATTATTTATGAACAATTAAAACTTAACTACTAGGTAATATGCCGATTTAATTTTCCAATTACCCCAATTAAAAGTATTTACTAAAATTGATTGCTAATATAGTAACGGCAACTATTAAGTAAAAACATTGTATCTGTATCCCATTTAAAATATTTCAAGAATCTTTCTTATTCATTACAATTGGTTGTATATCGCTTGCCCCGGGGAAGTAAGTCGTAAAGCACTTATGCCCGGGATGCACGAGGCTAGTTTTTCAAGCTAGGATAGCAGGCTAGTACTGTCCTGGCTTGCTGACCTGGCTTGGAACATGCTAGTTCTGTTTACATGAGGCTAGGATTATTTTAAGCTAGTACTATTACACTGACACGTCCAAAATATGCTGCATGCGAAAAAAACACTATTCAACTGAATGAGTTCTTGTCTAAATGACTTCAAAAACTATGCCAATTCGCACTAGACGAACTAGAAGAAGAGTTACTAAAACGGGTGTGGACAAGACCGTGGATTTTAGGAAGAGATGAACGTGGATCATCTGCTTTACTATTGGAAGAATTTCGCAATGAAGATTTAGACGAGTATAAGAGTATTTTGCGAATGACTCCTCATTTGTTTGATATTCTGCTGTAGTAGTGCTGAATCACGTTTTGATTTTCCTTTATACCTTGGAAGGGTGGCGTTCCACAGACATTCTTGGTCACGGTACAGTAGTACAAACTTTAAATCCATACTTAGTTTGGGCATCTTAAAATCTCAAAAAAAACGTTGCGGTGAATAAAATAAACAAAACGCGTGGTTCCTGCTTACTAGCCAACTGAAAACAAGCTTCGCCGGCCACATGAAGCTAGTACACAAGCCAGGATAGTAAAATCAGTAACTTTTCTAAAAAATAAAACTCCATCCTATTGAAAACTATCCTGGCTTGTAAACTAGCTTACTAGCTCAGAAATGAAGCTAGTTTTGTTTACACGAAGCCAGTATTACTAGCTTGCTAGCTTACTGACACTAGCTTGCTATCCTAGCCTGAAAAACTAGCCTCGTGTAACCCGGGCATTATACTACTGTTTTAATGTTTTGTCATTTTGGACGATATGAAATTTCCGCAGAGTGGTAATACATTATTACGCTCTAGACATTCGTTGTAATGTGCGGTTACTGTGTCGTCCGTAATTATCTTTAAACAGTGAATCAATCGTAAAACGCTTTTGCTCTTCAGTCTAATTAGATAAATTATTGTAAAATACATTCCTTGTTGTCATGTCTTGTTTCATGTGCTATATGAAATTTTGAATTTTTGTTATAACTTTGTGAGGGGTATGATCAATTAAATACCAATTTACGATTTAGTTTTATTTTGTTATGAAGTTATTTGAAATGTTTTTTTTAACTTTGGGAAATACCATCAAATTAGGTGTCCAATTATAGAATAATAAAATAACAATTTGTTTCATGTAGTAAACATTACCACATAAAAATAGATTGGGTAAGATAAACCAGAAATCCTCCTGGCGCCTGGCGTATTTATTAAAGTTTATTGTAAGATTTAGTTTAGTATATTTTAGTTATTGTATTGTGGTAGATAACTCGTTTGTGGTTTCTTTTATAAATATCCTGTGCTAATTTTGTTTTATTTTACAAGAAGAACCCACAACAATATATATTTGTATAAGTAATGTCCTTAGTATCATAGTAATAATAGCATTACCTTCTTTTATTTTTCCTGAAAAAAAATATAGATTTTGATTTTACGACTCTGTTCCCCGTGACAAGCGATATTTTAGAAAGTAATAACACATTATCTATTTACTCATTTATTGTACTACGCAATGTGGTGTATCCAGAATAAATCATTCTTAATATTGACATAAGACATACAAAACTGAGAGTAGTCATCCCACCAGCGGACAAACATAATGGCTTTTGTGAGTTTTGCAACATCAATAGTACCATTTTGGCATTTTTGCTATCAAAGTTTTCCCATTTGCTATCGTAAATTGCTCGGTTAAAAACATCACATGCGTCAATCAGTTTTTGTCCAGTTATACAATCCATAGTTAATTGTGCCAATGCGTAAGGCATTTCCAAATATGTGTTCTCCAATCCTCCAAGTAATTCAGCAATCAAACTTGTAATTACAAGAAGAAACTCTACCAGAATCGATCCACTGAATACTCTCTTCACTTCATTCATAAGATCTATGTTGGTTATGTGTGTAATGATTATATTTTTAAGACGGTCGTTAATGATAATATTCAACCGCCTAGTCTCGTCTTCTGTGTATGAAGTGCTATCTTCATTTCCGTTAATTTGTTCCTTGGCATCATCCCATAAATTCTTTATTTCCTCGCTAAGAACAATGAGTTGCGATTCTGTGTAACCCGCGATGACTATAAGGAACGCGCTGATGCTTGAAGCCAGGTAACAAGTGTAGAAAATTCCTAGAGCACAGGATGTGAACGCTATTTCGTAATTTGGCGATTCTAGTATTGGGTCCAAACCTATAAGGTGAAATATAAATTTATACTTCAATTATCATAGCTTCACCAAAACCACCTTATTTTTGTCTATCTTACCGAAAAGATCAAAATTATCTTCCATCAGATGTCGTCCTGGTAGCAGAAGAGGTTTAAAGGCATACATGACTCCATTAGAAATTATAAGACACCAGTACATAGTTGCGCGTTTTTTGATAATCTTTAATTTGCTCTCCAGGCTTTGCGTACGGGTTTTAGCGTCTAAATTAAGATAGCCTTCCACGATGTTCCTTATAGAGTCACTAAAATATATTTCCAATAATTATACTCCTATCAAACAATACTTATAAAAGAAGTTATCCTAATTATTACTGATACGAATACGGCTTTCACAGCTGATTCATGAAACCGAATATTCAGGTTTGGATATACGTTACACTGATAAGGCAAGTAAGACTTCAACAGTCAGAATAGGTGATTGATTGCTACACTCGGGCTTACCTGTACTCAAAGTCGTTGATTAAGATTATAACTATATAGATTATGCAAGTACTGTGATATTGAATCTCTAGAATGTAGACGTAAACAATACGACCTACGTTTTTATACGCTATTTGCAACGGTTTAATTGATTGCCCTGACTTATTGTCGCTTTTACTATTTTACACCCTTTGTTCATACAATTCTCAGGTTCTTCTTACCCGCACTACGCCCTTGACTTGCGAACTGGTAGTAAGTGTAAATTTAGAATTAATTTAACTTCTTTTCTGACGTTCATAAGTGTACTTGTTTATCTATATGAATAAAGTTATTTTGACTTGACTTGACAATACAAGGCAAAACCAACTATTTCAATTTCCTCGGTCTAATACAAACTATTAACGTATGTAACTCAGTCATGTATCGTATATTAAGGATATATATATATGTTATATATCCTTAATATACGATACATACTACATGCTGATACATACACAAATTACTAGCAAATAGATATATTTAATGTAACCAAATTTTTTTTAAAAAATAATTTACAAAACTCTGGTATCTTTTCTTAATAAATGGCTTTGTTATTCTTCCTTTATATTAAATATATATTAATCAATGCATCTTACAACTTAGAATTTATTATAAATATATTTATGTAATTTTTTTGTATAAATAGATAAACATTGATAACTGTGGTTTATGTTTGAATGTGTATTCCGTTTCTGGCTTTTGTGTATAATGTAATTGTTTGGATATTGTTTAGTGAGTTAGGAATACTGATGAGAAAATAAATAAATAAATAAGAGGTAACGGTTCTAAGACACAAGGAAGTGTAAAGCTAGAATAAAATAATTAGGTAGTTATAACTTAATGACAATTAAATTATGTGCGTTACGCCGTCTTCGCATACTTAGTTAATCTATTAAAATTAATATGACAACTTGGAGTACGTTGGCTTCTAAAGTCATGTTCGCATGCGTTTATTAACTCTCAATATTTTCAATTAATTGATATACTAAATACATACCTGTAAATATACATGAACAACAATTTGAAAGCGGAAATCTCACTAGCTACACCAAGGGAAAATACGATCAAGGCGGAAATTTTGTCTCCAGTTTCCTGACAACCCCAGAACACATACCATACAGCAGAAATTAGATATGTATAGAAGTAACCCACTGAAATTAGTATAGTCACCACGAATGATATAAGTGGAAATCCTGAAATAGTAATAAACATTAAAAGTGCGTGCGTACAAAGTACACATGTCAGAAGTGAAACTTCTTTGGCAAACTAATTTGTAACTCTTGTTAATATTTATACAAATCTAAAAATTTCCGAGACTTAGAGGGAAAAAGGAAGATATGTTAGGAATTTAATGAATTTAATTGTCATTAAAATATTAAAAGTGTCGAAAATTAATACAAATAATGATTTTTTTTATCTTCGATATTAAAAACACGTGGCATTTTAATTTACAATTCGTCATTTGTGATTTCAATAAATTATTTTGCATAAAATATTAAATAAT